CTGATTTCACTCCCGTCCCTCAAATAAACCCGAATTATGTAGGCTAAAATGCAGCACTCGGTGCTGTCAGCAGGTGGAGGCACGAAGCCAGGCTCTCTGCCTTGCTGCCAGCTCTGCTCTCGCTGCTGGGTGTGATGCTCCAGAGCTGGGGCAGGCACTGAGGCAGGTGTGGGGCAGCCTCTCCTGTTTCCTCTTGGGAAGCCTCACTCAGTTAAAGGTGCCAGGTGAGATGCAGCAGGTGCCTTTGCTTGTTGGTTAGAGGATAAAGTCTGGCTAACGTGAATGACTCCACTAACCCAGGGCTTGTTAGCTGCTCCAAGGGTTTTCTGCCTTTTAGTGGGCATCATTCAACACTGACTTCATAGAATCATAGAATTTTAGGCGTTGGAATGGACCTTACAGATCATCTAGTCCCAAGCCCCTGCCATGGGCAGGGACACCTCCTCACTAGACCAGGATGCTCAAGGCCTCATCAGCCTGGCCTTGAACACTGCCAGGGTTGGGGCAGCCACAGCCTCCCCTGGACAACCTGTGCCAGTGTCTCACCACCCTCACAAGAAAAAAAAAATGTCTAATATCTAACCTAAGCTTCCCCTCCTTCAGTTTGAATCCGTTACCCCTTGTCCTATCATTGCAGTTCCTAACCAAGAGTCCCTCTGCAGCTTCCCTGGAGCCCCTTCAGATATTGAAAAGTTGCTCTGAGGTCTCCACACAACCTTCTCTTCTCCAGGCAGAACAGTCCCAACTTCCTCAGCTTGTCCTCATAGAGGAAATGCTCCAGTCCTCTTATGAACTTTCATGTACAAGTTGACTTTGCAGCAGAGACAGCTGTTGGCAGCAGGCAGAGATGAGCTGGTTTCCTCTGACAGTCACCCCAACATGTAGACACCAGGGCAGAGCAGCCGTTTCAGAGCTGCTCCAGAACCAGAGGCTTTACCAATCCCCCCCCTCCTCCAACCTGGGCACGGGCAGTGCAGGAGTTCAGCACTGCTCAGGGGGGCTCAGCAGCCCCCCACTGCAGGCTGCAGTGCTCCTGGGCAGCTTGCAAACACAGTGTGAGGGGAAAGGGCTGTGCCAGCCACCACAGCCATGCTGAGCCGTTGCCTCCCCATTCCCGGCAGCCGGAACAAAGACCACAGTGTGTTCAGCTGCAAAAAAGCTTTTCCTGAAGTTTTCGTGCAGCTAAAAATACCTTGAGAAAGTCATTAGGCACCAGAGGCAGCTGGCTTAGCAGGGCTCTGCTGTGGGGCCATACCTACAGCAGCCTTTCCTCCTGATAGGAGTCGAGCCAGCAGACTGGCCACCCCCACATGGCCTTGGGAAAACATCCTCCCTAATAATTCCTGGAGGGAAAAAGCTGCTGTCCCAGACAGCCTAGTAAAAAAAAACCCAAACCCAGATAGCAGTAACAACAACAACACCCAGTGCAGAAGAGCCATCTTACAGTGCAAAGCAAAGAGTTTCCCTGAATCCAGTGGAGATTTGTCTGGTCTGTCCCGTTCATGGCTCAGCAGTGTGGGCAGCAGGTGAGGGAGGGGATTCTGCCCCTCTGTCCCACTCATGTGAGACCCCACCTGCATTGCTGCCTCCAGCAGAAGGATGTGGAGCTGCTGGAGTGAGTCCATAGCAGGCCACAGAGATTCCAAGAGCTGGAGCACCTCTGCTCTGGAGCCAGGCTGGGAGA